CTTCACCAAAATTGATATTCTCTGACTGATATGGCTGATTCAAAATTTTCTCAAAAATGGCTCGATTTTCTTTTTTAACTATATTCCTCAGAGAACGAAGCACGCTTATAAAAATGTAGCATGTCCCACTTTCTGTGATCTTTCTGAATTTTCGAAATCATCCTACAATTACAATATTGGAGAAAAAGAGATAGCTTCATAATAAAATCTGTTCTTCAAAATTAATCTTTAAACGAGATCGTGTACAATGTTTTCAAAATATGAGTAATTTTCTCGCAATTTGAGTGAAATAAAAGCAATTTTAAAAACAATATTTTCTCAAAAACGGCTGTGTTTTTCTCTTTAATACTTTGTTTGTCGGATGGTAGGATGTTCGCTTATAAAAATGACACAAATCCGAATTTTTCGCGCATTTACTCGGAAATTTAAGCACAAATTTGTTTGATCTCTAACAGACGTTTTGAAATATTTTTCTGTATCAAAGAGCCACAAAACTTAAATTCTGACTACACTACATATTCGAGAAAGTAATACTACAGAGTATTCTACGACTATAAGAGAAAGGAAAATTCAGTTTATAATCAGTGATCCGTAAAACAAGTTTTTCTATCGAAAAATTGACATTTTTTCTTTCAGAATTGCAATGTACACTCTTTATATACGAGGCAGTACAAATTATATGCACTATGCGACATTTGGTATATTATCTGAGTCAAATACAATAAATGTTATTACCTACATAATTATTACAAAATATATGTTGCTGGGTCAAAAGGACATCCATGTTATTAATAGCAATAAAACCTAATTACATTGACCTTTCACGTCATCCGATTTGGCATGATTTGTGATAATTCAGGTAAAATTTATAAACTCAAGAACTGCGAGCTCCGATATTTTATGAGTAAAACAAAATGAGTCATTTTGACATATACGGCCTTTTAGTGTGAGAGAAAATCCCTTTTGTTAAGTCAACATTGAAAATGACATAATTAACAAGATGCTACGTATCATAATCCTAGATAGAAACAGGGGCGGATCCAGCCCATTATTAGAGGGGGGGGACATCATATTTTTGTTAAATTCTAAACATTTTATTATTGTATTGTATATTATTTTTAGTGTGATATTATACAATATTTTTTATATAATTACATAATTCTACCACAAATATTTTAATCAATTTTGCCAAATAAAGGAAGGTGACAGACGAAAACTATAGGCCTTTGATGGGTGCAGGCCCCCCTGGATCCGTCACTGGATAGAAAATAAAGTCTGGTGCAGAAGTCGTCACTTCGGAATAATAATAATTAGGCACAAAATGTCAAAAGTAACAAGTCATTTTCCTGACGCAAAATATGGACGATGTTTTGCCGTTGTTTATCTGGCTTGTAAATACAAATCCTTGGAATGACATGAGATCATTTCGCAAAATTAGAATCTCCATTAAGTCAAAACATTCAACGCAGACTTCGAATTGGTTTTGAGGCGATATGAGCCAAAGTAATTAAATTAGCGCGCCACTGCCCCTGGAGAAAGCAACGGCGAAGTATTCTACGAACACGTTGCCGGAAAAGGTTGTGCTCTGAATGATAGTGTTTCGATCAACACCAGGCGAATGCCGGATACCTACTCTGACAAATTGGCCATGGACAGCGCTTCCTTCCTCTTCCTACCCTCATCCCATTTTTTTTTCTATTTGAGTTTGGCGTCAAAGTTTGTTGACAAAAATACCTTCACATTCAACTATTTCCCCCCGTCTCTGCAATTTTTTTCAGCCTTACACACGCTATAAGCTGAGAAAAATAAAACATACAAAATACGTTTCTCATTGTATCTCTGGAACAGATTGCCCTAGGAGGCTGATTTTTCGGGAATGTAGGGAACTTTAGATTATCTTTCATATGAGCATCACGATTATCGATTTGCTTGAGGGGGGGGGGTAAGGCGTTTCACCGCCTTATTCGGCTGCATTCTTTCCCGACACGCCACTCTGCGTACTTACGTCGTAACTCCACACCTAAAAGACTGGACGGGGAATTACAATCTTTTGCACGGATGCACGAATTTCCGGCGATACGTCGTTGGTGCTAAGGTGAACACAGTGAGGAGGCAGGCCAGTGCAGTGAGGAGCCTTCCTGACCTAAGCGTGGGTGGCCCCCAGTTGGGCTCTTGCCTTGTCGCGGCAGAGCCCGGCACTTGAAGAGCTCGGACGTTTTGCGAAGTGCTATGAGTATTTTTTATTGATACTATTTTATAGCTTTTAATAAAAATAACCGCTTAACTGTACATCTAAAAGTGTTTTAGTAGATTTTCATTTTGCTTATTTACAATTCTAATGCCTATTTTTGCTATTTCGTCTTATTTTTTGCCTTTTTCGTTTTTCCTCATTATTTTTTTTCTCCTGGCATCGATCGCGATCAAGCTGATATACCTGCAAGCCTGAACAGAACAAAGACATTGTCGTGTTTTGTCTTCATACAGAATTGTCATGTGGAATTAAGATCACAAAAAAAAAGAACGTTTCCTTACTCATCATGTGCTTATGTAATTTTTTTAATTATTATAAAAATGTGAATCGTTTCAAGGTTTACTTATTTACAATCCTTTTAAATGTGATTTTTCATTGTTTATATCCGATTTGCACCCTACTTCAGCTAGAATAAATGCAATTTTGCATTACTGTTTTAGTAAAAATAACTTCCGTTTTGCCTGCCTTTTTTAGGCAAATATAAATTACTGAACTTCCGAGCTCTTCTTATGAGTAGACTATTTCGACGCAGTGAGTGCCATAAACTCCGATACAAATTTGGTAAGCTGGTAAGCCTTGGTCGGGCGAGGCGGTTCCACTCGAACTAAGATAGATGCTATCATCGCTACCGGATTCAGGGGGGGGGCATGAGGGCCATGTCCCCCCCATCAAGGCCCAGAGTTTTGGGTTACCTTCCTCTATTTGGCAAAACTTATTTAAATATATATTTATGTTCAAATCACGTAATTATTTAAAAAATAATATGGTATAGAAACATATATTCACTACAAAAGTAATATAAAATAATATAACAATTATGTTTATTATTTAACAAAAATCTATGACACCCCCCCCCCCTGATCGGTTTTTATCCGTCCCCGAAAACCAGCCCAATGGTGTGCTCGTACACCACCGAGGGGTGAGGATAAAAGTGTTCACAGGGGACCACCCTGCGAGAAAGAAAACTCCCCTCGAAAAACCAAGATGAAAGAGGAGCGCACTCGACTACTTCAGGAGGCAAAGCATACCACTCCCCAACAAATCAACAGTTTTGTGGATTGATTCTACACTTCAAGGACACGGACACAAGGACAAGGAGCTTTAATGATAGGAAAACGGTCTCACTCTTTTGGAGGAGGAGAAGCAATTAGGAGTTCGGGAGGCTCTAAAGCGCTCTCCTGAAGCTTCGCTAATGAAATTGCATTCGCAGAGAGGCGTTACACTCAGGAGCGCAGTGGATACAAAGGTCGCGGAAAAAGCGGATTCACACGTCGCAGACCCTTCAAGAACTGAAGACAAGGTGCGATTGGGGGGGAGGGGCTGAAGGTCGACCCCTCCTATAAAGTTTTATGTTCTCTGCTGGAAAATAATGAATTTGCCGCTGCCAAGATAGTATTCTTATCGCATACTGCTTACAGAGTAAAGAGAGAATATTGTAATACTGCGAGGAAAACGGTAAATTTTCGACAGAAAAACTTTTCTCTCTAAGTTACGAAAAAGTGGATAAAACTTGTTCTCATATGAAGTAAATTACTTTCGGTAACATGTTTAGTCGGAATCCGTTCGGTGGCGACACCGAAAAATCGATTGACGGCAAAACGTATTTCCGTGCGTTGGTCACTGAACAATGTTAGCGGTTAAACATTCAGCAGGATTTTAACCAAAATTTATAACCAAATTTTTACAACCCGATCGATCTGACTTATGTCGCTGGCTCGATTTTGAAACGTATATTTTGATTTGAGAGTGGGGTTCTTCACATAAAGCCACAACATTTTCAAACGTTTCTCTAAAACACCCAATTTTTTTCTTTTTTATTCTAATAAAACTATAGGTGCTTCAAGAAATGGCGTAGTTCGTATTATCGTTAAACCTCCAATATTCTAAACTTGCAAAAGTTTAAACTTTTTCCGCGTCTTCCTACAACTACAATATTGAAGATAAATTTTGTCATTGATGAAATTTGTTCATCAAAATTAGATTTTGGAGCCATGTACAACGTTTTGAAAATACAGAGTAATTTAATAAGAGTAATTTTGCGTCAAATAGGCAAATTTTTAAACAATTATTTTCTCACAAACGGTTCCAATTTTTTTCTTTAAATATTATTTGTCGTATGTAGCAAAGCACTTTAAAGAAAGTGGCACTGGCCCTGTTACATTGCTTTCACATTTTATTTAAATTTAGCACATAACCTCTAATAAACAATTATAAGCTCTCCTTGGCACAAATTTCAGACAAGATCGGGAAGTTTTAAATACTTTCTCGCTCTCAAGATAGTACTTTTTTCGCTCCACAACCAGCGAAACCAATTGCAATGAGTACAAGATAACCCCAGTTATGTTTACATTTACACTAACGTACTTTCCTACTAGGGAGCAGCACTGCCTGGACAGCGCGCTTAAAAGCGAGATTTCCCTAGAAACAAAAATATTTACAAGATCGTTCGCTTGTAATGTTGAGACACTCCACTTTTCGCGGCATTGCTTCTATACGGAGCGGACAGTACTTCCGCATAGTAAGGAGCTGATGGTTGCCATTTGAGTCTCAGTGCATTATTGACAATCGTTGCCAGCGGCTTAATTTATGCTCCGTGCACAGCAAACACAAGTAGTGTTAGTACCTTAAATAATAAAAATATCCCACAAAATAGGCTCTTTTCCCCACCATGGAGCCAGTTTTTTCGAAACATCAGGATATTGTTGAAAACTTTTAGAAATTCTCTTTTATAAGAAAACGAGAGGTAGAGTTGAACTCTAGAGTAACAAGTTTATTCACAAAAGTTATAATTCTCAACAAATAAAATTAAAACTTATTTTTCACATATGTAAAACGCTAAATTCAATGCATGATGGTTGGTAGCTCGTTGTCAGCTGTCGGTGTAGTCTCGGCGTCGTTTTTGTACCCGCTCTTCAGCATCTCCCATCCAGTACGTCCTATAACTCCATCATATTCAGTTTCGCCAGTGTGCCAAAGCTTGTGATCATAGAATCCATAAACTGAAAAATAGAAGAATTAATAAGGCAACTGGAACGTTGGCGATTGCGAGGGTCAAGCTACCTCCTCCTCAAAACTAATTTTTAGAGTTCGCCGAATATGGAAACACCACATTCTTTGCCGTTCGTTGCTTCACACGAAGCAGTTTCTGAAAAAAATATCTGTTTAAAAATTGCCTATGTTTTACGCAAAACCTTTCTCCAAAATTGTTTTGAAGGAAGACAAAAAATTGGAACTTTTGCAATTTTCGAAAATTTAGAGTGAAACGAAAATGCAATCTACGCCATTTCTTTAAGTATTTTTTGTTTCACCCGAGGAAATTAGTGGCGCTACAAGCACGTATTTTCTCAAATTATATCTAAATTTGGAATTTTCAAAAATTCAGAGTTCAACGAAAATGAGACCTGTGCCACTTTTTAAACATCTCCTCTATCAGTGGAAAAATATTAAAGAAAAAATTTGAAGCAGTTTTTTTTTGTTTTTTTTTTTTTTTTTTTTTTTTTTTTGAGAAAAAAAGTTTAAGGGTTTTTAAATTGACTATATTTTGCGCCAAATTACACGAAAACTTCTCAAATTTTCGAAAAATATAACATGACCTTATTTAAAGATACGTCTTTGTGGAACAGATTTCAACAAAATCTCTATCTTCAATGTTATAGTTGTAGGAAAATGACCCCCAAAAATTGCACTTTTGCAATTTTCAAAAAATCTGAGTCTTCAACCAAAATGAGACGGTTGAGGCGCTAGCGTTTACCACAGACGGACAGACACAGATGTTTTGCCGTCAATCGATTTTTCGATATCAAGGACCCACAATTCACAGATTCTGTCTACAAAACGTGTCAGAGGAATATTTTGCTGTATTTTACAACATGATTAATCCATTTTTCGTTTCCAAGGTCTGCCAAGAAGAGTTTTTCTACCGAAAATTCGCAATTTTCCAGCTCACGATTACATAACTTTCTCTTCTTACTAAGTACCTTCCTAAGGACGAGAAAGTAAAAATTTAAAGGAAACATCACGAGTCATTCTTGAGAAAATTTTGAAAATGTTGTGGCTTCATGTAAAGTAACCCAAAAAATCAAAATATCCGTTTCAAATTCAAGGGGCCGTGACTTCAGTTAAATCGACCGCAGAATATCTGTTGGTGAAAATACTGTTTACCGTTTAGACATTAAGACGGACGGACAGACGTTTCGCCGAAATCCAATTTTTCGGCTTCCAAGAGCCACCATACGTGAATTCTGACTACACAACATGTTAGAGGAAGTAATTTTACACATGTATAGGATCAAGATTTATCCACTTTCTCATTATCAGCGCCCGGCAAGAAGTTACCTGTCGATATTTTTTCCGCAGCGTTGCAATACTTTTCGAGAAATTGGCTCTAATTATTTTCTTTACACTTTTCATGGAGATGGTGCTAAATGCACTGAATAATATGACACAAATGCAATTTTCAACGTTCGGATGGCCGACATCGTTAAGACTGTGTGCGATCTCGAGTTGACGGATCGCGCGTCCGAGTCCCGTCTCGGGCATCATTGTACGAGTGGTGTTCGTCCTTTAACCCCCCACCCCACCCCGCCCTATTGTTAAATCCAATAGTGGTCAATGATGACCTAGATGTTGATGCGACAACTGTTTGAATTACCTTAAATACTTTCAAAACAATAAAGTATTCTATACAAAAATTTATAATAATAACAATAATAATAATAATAATAATAATAATAATAATAATAATAATAATAATAATAATAATATTCATTGAGGCACTTATACAATTACAATCATGTATGACTAGTCAATATGATGTCTTGGGTGAAGAGAGCGAAGTTACATTACTGTTCAGGAGTAATAGGGGCCATCTCAGCATTTGCTCAAGGGACTGGGGAAACTGAACAAAACCTGATGGAGATGGGATCATAGGCCTAGAAATTATACTACAACAATGCTACAGATAGATTAGGATATTATACAGTAGATAATTATTTTTAGTAGCAGATAATTTAACATTTCAAGATGTTATTTATACTACTACTTATAATAATAATAATTAAAACAATACATATCAATTCTGTCAGCAACTACATAAAATTTAACAATATTAGCACATTCTATATTTAAACTTGTATAGATAGTAAACCCAATATATTATTATGAACTTCTAATTAAATATTTTATGAGAAAAAAAATTGACATTAAAAAAATCAGCAAATAATCTTCAACATGCACTACAATTAAAATCAAAAATACTAATTGCAATATAAATATATCAAGAATCAATAAACATTCGTGTTAAAACAACTACACAATACTAAAACTGCAAAGAAGCGGTTTCCGAAAGAATGGATATTAGTAAAAATAATCACACACAGCCCTCTTTAATTCAAATAAATCAAATCAACACCCCAATAATTTTATAAAATGTACTTACGCCGTCTAGCAGTAAGCAGAGGCCTCACTGCCTTCTTACAATGTGCATTGAATGTTTCGCGAGCTGTAGCTTGAATTAATAAAAAACTGGTATCCAATGCCTTCATTCCTATGGGCTTTTTCAATATTTCCAATTTGCCTGTTATGACATTAAAACATTTACTTTTCCCATAAACAAATTTAAATAATATTCAATTTAATACATTAATGTTTTCTAAACATGGTACTAATTGTAGTATTGATCTCATAATTATTTTATTTTTAATTCATTGTATGTTATTTAGATATCATTCGTAAGTAGTATAAGCAAAAAATGTTATATTTTACAATACTGCACTTTTACCTGGAGTATAGTCTACCTGTGAAACTGTTCTATATCTGTCTTTCATAGCTGCATCAATTACTTCCATAGCATTTCCACAACATTTTGCCTGGAACAATCTCACTCTTAGCCCACTTTACATTTTGCATTATTCTCTAATATAAGCAAGCAACTGCTCAATTCTTTTATGAGCAGTGGTTCATAATACATCCACAAATCCAAGAAGTGCTAATACAAAATTATCTTGAAAATAAAATTTAAAATTAATATGTAAACATTCTCTTTCCTCTTCTATCATCATCAAATGCTCTGATGTTTGCCACTTTCCGTTCAGATAAAAATGATAGTGTAAGAATTTTGTTCACAAATTACTATACAGATCCAATAATTAATTATTTTTATGCCAATTGGTTTTTGTCTTCAAAAAACACAACTTCATTTTATATTACATTTGATAAATCAATTTCTCAAAGAGGAAGTTTATGTTACAGTTCATGTCTAAAATAGCCAAAATTCTTTACCGTTAGTTCTATGGTAAGCAGGCGCAGATTCACAGGGAAGGAAATTTCCCCGTCTAAAATTTTTCAGTCACTAATAATTTTAACTTGTCATGAAACTTTCAAGCAAAAATATTTCCGAATAATCATTAATATGAATAAAATCAAATCGCAGCTTAGGCTGAGTGTAGCCGGGACATTTTACAAAATCACTACGACAAATTTTACCATTTTGAATTTCCCCTCCCAAAATTTGTCTCTGTATCTGCCCCTGGTAAAAGGTAATTGGAATGTCAGCAAACAGTGGAAACAATATATGAATTTTCCAAGCCTAAGAAAAAAAAAAATTGTTTAGTATGCCTTTTCTGTATCATGTGTTTCAATTAAATTCCATATGAAATTTAACTCAATTTAATATCCTGTAAATGAGAGATTTTTATTCTGTTTTTCTTGATCAAAATAGCAAATATTGCAATAGTACCTATTTTGCTTCTGTGCAGATTATTTAGATTTTCTCTCCCATTCCACTACAATATTATCATATTTACAACAAGACTTTGTGTTGTTGGTGAATTTAATTAATTATTAATTAAATATAACTTCTTCAAGGGACCAAATCATTATTGTTTATCCAAATGATTCAAGATCATTGCTGCCTTGAGGATAAAATTGATCAAAGACATAAAAAGAAATTTCACAAATTAGTGAAGGGTAATAAAAAACATTTTTTATGAAAATTTTATTTTTTTTAATGTAAGAACTTACTGCATCTGGAGCAATTACTGGTTTATATAAGCATGCATCATAAGAAAAAATATCTTTTCTGTCTGCATCCCAACTGTAAGGTAAGTAAAAGAAATAATACTGGAAGTAAATACAATTTCACTGGAATAACAATTATAAACACATTTTTATGGAGTAAATGCCTACGTGGTTGCACGGCAGCCACGAAGACCTTTGTAATCTCTTCTGTAAACAGTTTCGTAATAGTGTTCTGTCATGATTATTATGGATCTAAAAAAGAAAAAAAACTTCATTAAAATTGATTCTTTACACTCATAAATATTTTACCTTTTTTGGATTTTAAATGAGTGACGTTATAGTAAGATAATGGAAAAAAAATTGCATTTGACATTGATCTTGTGTATTTTTATCGTTTTTGAGAAAAGTCCTTAAAAAAAATCTGATTTGGAATTTAAGTCTGATACACATTCCACAAGCAGGAAGCAAAAAAGATCATGAAAAATTAAAATTCATATGAATTAATAAAAATAAAATTCAGCTAAGAGACTGCTTTGCAAATTTGATTGTAATTTGAATTAATATAGAGTTGAATTTATTTTTGATTTTGTGAGAGCATATTTGAGATAGAAGGCACAAATTTGATATATTAATAATCACTGTAGTGCATTTTTGGTTGATTTTTAAAATCCACTTTTTTATCACTGCATGCCAAGTAAAAATCCCACGAGGTAAAGTCAACTGTTGACACCTCCTTTGAATGAAATTAATGAAACATGTTTTTTTGTGTTCCTCTACTTGGTTTTGAACATCACAAATAAAATTTAATAACTAATTTAAAATGTTGAAGGTATTTTTACTCTACATACAACACTGTACTAATAACAAGAAGATATTGTTTGAAATCTTCCTTTTAAGAATGAAATTGCTTGGGTTACATTGGTCAGATTTTATTAATTGTATCATTTCTTTACAAAAAATTATTTTGTATATCTTTAGGGTGATGATGGCTAGCCTTTAATTGTCAGTTCTCAAAATAAATCCAAGATGATGTCTATTATTTCCTCCATTAATAATGTCATCAACATTACATCGACAGTCTCACAATAAAAGTTCTTACCAATTACATTACTAAGAATTTAGAAGTTTTTGTGCAAATTTAATTATGAATTTTGAAGGTACTATAGATACGATTACATAGCCAACAATATATTATTAATGAGATACATCAGAAAACAATGAATTTTGTAAAAGGCATTTGATGACAATTTGAATGAAAGTTTCTCCTCTTATTTTGAAATTCTGCAACAATACAATTTTTTCCAACAATACATCTTAAGAATGAAAATTGAAGGGATCCATATCAACACAAAACATTTTTACTTTTTGTTTGTTTTAATTATGATGGTAGTGTAATTAACAGATTGAAGTCTACACATTTCATAATAAAAATTATCACAAAATACATTTCTTCTTCTGCCTTGAATCAATGCCAGAAATATTACATTCGAACTAGACTCGTTTCGAGCCATAATGGATGAAGTTGGCAGATACACAATTCACATAGGTTATGCATTTCTAAACCACTCAAATTCTTTAAATAGATTTCTTCTTCTGCCTTGAATCAATGCCAGAAATATTAGATTCGAACTAGACTCATTTCTAGCCATAATGGATGAAGTTGGCAGATACACAATTCACACAGGTTCTGCATTTATAAGCCATACAAATTCATATGTCACACAATTATTATGAGACAGTTGTGAGGCAAAGCAAGAATCATCCGATATTACATGTCTAACCAGATATTTTACTGTCTTCAATTATAAATGCCACAATTTGTTGGTGAACTTTATTATCAACTTCGAGAGCCTAGTATCTTATTATAATTTATAATGTTTGAAGTAGGATATGGATTTTAAAGAAATGTCATTTTTCTCCTTTTCCCTCTAGAACAATGATTTCTAATACAAACATTAATTTTATGTTAGGACAAAAAGAAATGACCCATTTTTATATGATTTTTTTTTTCCTTTTTTCAATAGATTTTTACTAATAAGTAAATTTTACCATTTCTGTTGTGTTTAGTGCATTTATCATTGATTTCATCGATTTTAACATGATTTGAATGCTACGTACTTCCTTCAAATAATATTTGCAAGTTGAAGCAAATGTTCTCCCCCATACATCACATAAAGTTTTTACTGCTCTTTGACTAAATAAATCAAATCCACAGAATTCCTGAGTAGCCTTTTCAATTTCTTCGCTCAGAAAGTGTAATGTCAGTCAGTATGAGTATGTAATTACGGTTCCTGTGATGCTTATGAGTGCCATTGTCAGGATAACTAAACAGATATTTCCTGTCTGCTAAGTGGTGTTGGCTGAATTCTGCATGCCAGATGCCACATAATCAGCATGAGCAGTAGTATTGCAATTTTTCAGCTGGCATGTAGCAATAGTATAATTCAAAGTTATAATTTAACTTACAATAGATTTTCTCACGGCACTACTACTCTGCCAACCAGTACACAGAAAAGCTTAGGGCAGTGCCACAATAGCAGAAGTACAAAACAAAGATTATGTCAAAATGCTTATTTCTGAACAGTATTTTGGGATGGATGAAAATGTAACACTTGCAAAATATTAATGTTAATAACTATTGAGGCTGATTGTTAGATAGTTGAATTTTTAGTGAATATCCATGTTAACAACACTATACCCATATCATAAACAGAATTAAGAAGAAAAAAGTTTTGTGCATGTATGTATTGTGTCATAATTAAGAAACAAAGTTTATCGATGCAAAAAAATTTTCTTATTTATCCAAAGAACTATTCTCTAGAAAATAATGCTTCGTTACGGACCTCCACCATTAATCATAACTAGATAATTCTCCTAACTTCAAGCGTTCAGCCCCCCAGCCCCTTATCTTCCAAAACTTAATTGATTTAAAGGGGTCTCAATTTATACAATATTGTGTAAGAAAAGTATCTCCAGCCCCACTTTTTCCCCACTTGTTCCCCAAAATTAACCTGTTCTATGAACACTCATGTCCCATTGAGTCAGAAAACCAGGTTTTAGGGTCAAAGACACAGCGTGTCTGAGTTATGCATTATTTTAAGGTATTCAGCTTACTATTTATTAAGCTGCAAACATATTTTTTCCATTTTAAAACTGTTTGACACATCCCTTCACAACAATAGCAGAGACAACATATTCTTGTAAATTGTCAAAAACTGTCATTCATCATTAGAGTATTTTATATAAAGAGGATGGATAATAAAACACTGTTTACAAACAAGAAAATTGTACAATGTTTATACTGATCACCAACATATGTTAACAATGTTTATTGATTATATAAATCTTAATGTACATAGGGAAGTCCAAAAGTACGAAGGAAGGTTTAAGTAAGTTTAATATGCATATTTAATTTGATTATAATTCCCCATGATTGTTATATACTTTTTTGTGAAGATTCCAATTCCAATTTTAAAAATAAAAATTACGCAGACTCAGCCCAGGACTGTATGACATATGAGGAGTTCAATGAAGCCACAGTAAAGCTAGTTCTTCAGCCAAATCTTCTGACAACATTATATGTCTTGTAAAAAATGGTGAGGATGGCATTATTTCCCTGTGCTGCACAACTCTTGAAAGAGCGCCCGTCTTCTTCCCATGAACGGGAACCAAAATTTTTACGGCATAATAAAAATTAAATATTGGAGGACAAAGCACTTGTAAAAATAATTAAAAAATCAGAATGAATTATAATGCAAATTCATTTTTAATAGACACTTTTTCCTTCATCTTTAACAGAAAATAACAAAACAATAAAAGGTACTCTAGAAAAATTACCTGAAAATTACACTACTGCTTGCAATATGTGTTTCAAATAGGCTTCCTTCTCTACTCCATTTCTTTTATTTCTTGGAATCAATTCAAAAATATTTTGATCTACACTATGTTGTAAAATGTACGGTAGCCACTCAGGGTAATAGCTTAGAAGTGCACCACCCATTCTTCTATTGCACTGAATAAAGTGAGTCAAAGTGTTTAATGCATTTATCTTGGTAAAGTCCTTATCCACAAATTCATTTTGATACAAGGAAGGATGAATTTGCAAAAATATTACTAAAATTCTCAGTTCATGAGGGAACAAATCCAAAAATTCACCATTTTTGCAACAACATTCAACACAATTAATAAATTTTGAAATAAAGTATGCCAAACATTTATTTATATCAGACATCAAAAGAAATTCATGTAAAATAGTAACTGCAGTTTGAAATATTTTTGATGACGTTGAACACAATTTACAAAATGCATTCATCTCTGAATTAAATAGAAAATCAACACTATCACAGTCGTCTGAAACCACCTTCTCTACTGTGTCCATTAAATATTGTTCCACACAGAAGGGAAACACATGAATCAGTTTTTCAAGAGATTCAGAAGTTAATGGAACTTCATCTGCAACATAAATGACATAACATTCATTTTCTGATTCAATTCATAATAAACAAAACAAAAAAACATCCCCAAAGGACAAGAACCTACCTCGCATATTCCACAGTTCACCAAAAAACAACTTCACTTCTTCATTTTCTGAAGACTGATGAGCAATATTCCTAATTATTTGGGTTAACATGCGATTTTTCTGAATACTGCTTAAACAGGAAATAATAATATATTTCCCTAAACGTAAACAATCATCCACACCTTTGAAATATTGTAGACCTTCCAAAAAATCAGTTCCCTCACATCTATACAGAGATTCAATTGATTCAATGCCACTAGACTGACTAAACCCTAAACAACTTCCAAATTTGATGACTCTACGGCCCCAAGTCTGAAACAAAATGTACTTGACAAGAAATAGTTAAAGTTCACAATAACTCACTAACAGAAATAATTTAAAAAAACACACCATTATCGTTTCCACTTTCTCGCGTTCGCTCGCTCGGATGCGTTCTTTTGGCGTAATTAAAGTTTTAATAAAAGTTGAAGCCAAATCATTTAAAGCTTCTTCACTTTCTGGGCATAACCTCAATATTTCAATTTCATTCCTAACTTCATTATCCATTGCACACTTTAATGACAAATAATACACACCAAATATTTTCAAATACAACACAGGACAACTGTAGTTAAATTACAATAATTCTTACGAAATGCAACTGTCAAAATGACCGGGTTAATATATAATCCAAGACCAAAATGATCTCGGAATCGTCTTGATGCACGCGCGGTCCTTGACGACCAATGAAAGTTAAGAAAGGGTAAAGAGCCAATCACGTAATTTTGAAAGTCCGTGGAATGGTTTGAA